TTTCATCTCTTAACCGCTAAGGATTGATTTCGAAATGATGTTCCATCGGTAATAAAAAAAAAAAAAAGAGAGAAAAAAATTGCTCCGCGTATAATCCATTATACATCATAAAGTAGACATTTTGCGACCAATTGTATATCGCACAGAACTTTTATACGGAAAAGAAAGATAAATTGCATAAATGAAATAAATATCACGATCACGACCACGATCTGTAAAGCGTAATTTTTCCCTTTCTCGCCATCGAGACGACGCATGGAAACAATCGTTCCGACAATCGTCATAAAGAACGTATCCATTTGCCAAGTAAAATTGCTCCACACGAGCAATTTGTCAATACGACAATTTCTAAGTAGTGGCCAACTTTACTTTATATGCAAATCGATATGCTCGTCGAGTTCCCCGTCGCCCTCAAATCGAATCGTAAGGAAACGAACGAACAATTTTCGAAAATTATCGTTAATTATCGTAGACAACAACGAGAACATTATCGCGTGAATTGCAAATCCACGGTGAAAGCGTTCGAGGTGTAAAATCATGGAGGTCAGGCTTCGCGCGGTTTTCTCGTTTTTCTTTTTTTTTTTTTTCTTCCTTCTTTTTCTTTTCTTTCTTTTTTTCTTTTTTTCTTCTCTCGACAATTAGTCGGCCATTCGATTTCCACGGAAACGAGCGTTTTCCTTCCAAATATCGAATCGATCGCCGGCCGACAAAGAGAGAGAGAGAGAGAGAGAGAGAGCCGATATTTTCGCGGGGAACAATGGGAACGACTTCTGTGACCGCAAACGGAACCTTTCGCGTGCAGACATTTCGTTCTTTTACGAGTTCGACTTCCACCACCACCGTGAAACTTCCATCGTATCCCCGACGACCGATTTTCTCCGCATAATACCACGGGACCGCGGGCAACCGCTATGGTGACAGCCAGCAACCTCTCTGTCGTAAGTCCGTTTATTGTCGGAGATGGAATAAGGTTTTAGCGAGCGATTTAAAAATAGCTTCAACGTCGATGCCGGGAATTTTTTAATAAATAGATAGATATATCTGATAGATACGGCGGTTTAAGAAAGTGTAAATGTAGATAGATGCGAATATATTTATTGTAGCCTCGTTATAGATATTGTCTAGCAATTTCTACCAATTCTTTGATTATTATATATCGAAATCGTCCTCCAATCTAGCATCTTACTACCAGCAAGTTACTATAACCTTGCTAATAAATCCACTATCAGATCCCCTCAGTTTTATGTAAACACACGTATCACGATATACGCAATATATCTCTCAATATAACGCAAATAAATTCGTTTGATTCGGGAAACATATCGTGAATATTAATTCACGAGCTACCTTTAACATTTTTCCGCCATGATTGTGTTTCTTCGCGAAAGAAAGAAAAGAAAAAGAAAAAGAGAGGGAAACAACTAATCAACGATCGATTGACGTACTATGATATTAACGCAAAGATCTAATTCCGAGATCGATTCGTGATAATTTTATAGGCCTGTTGTAATGGTCACGATAAAAGCGAAATTCTGTGTACAAACGATCCATTTGGACGTGTAACGCGATACATCGATCTGATTTTCACCATTGAAAATGGTGAATTACCTTAAAAGATATCATTGGTACCTTTCTAAATCTAATTCCTCCGATTCTAAGTACATTTTCTCAATTGTAACTTTTTTTTTATTAACCTCGCTCCGCTGTTGTCGCCGATAGAATTATCTCTAAGCGAGGGAGAAAGTTTCTCGTGAGAGAAAAGAAAAAAAGAAAACGGAAACATTGCAGAGAACGAAGCATGAAATTGTATCTATCCAAAGGTATTCCGCGTAATTACATCGGCTATCATATCGTTACTCTTCCGAATTAACAAGAAACTGTACGAACGTTATCGATACAGGAGGAGGAGATGGAAGAGATAAGGGAATCGGAAAGGGAAAGATCGAATCAAATGTTAGCCGCACTCTCCAATTACCGACGAATCATGCTCGGAATAAAACTGAATCGAGAAAAATTCTCGATCAAATGATTTACAAATGTGCGTGTATTCGCGCTTGAATCGGACGAGATCGCATCGAGATGATGAATTTCTTCCTATAGCAAATTAATTCTTGGCCAATTAGAAATTACGATTGGTTATTATAGGGATATTTTAGGAACAAATCTAATTTTTTGTGTAATAATTACTTATCGTTCGAATATTCGAATGTAAATTAAAATACGAATATTCGGATCTCGATTGAATGAATATTTATATAAATATTTGGATATATATTATGAATATAAGCGAAGAAAAATATGAAGAGATCACTCGAGACGGAATTCGATATCGGGTCGGGTGTTTGGAATTCTCTTCCTCGCCTATTCTTTATTATTTTGCTTCTATATCTAACATCCTGAACTAAGATTCGCTTTTAACCGCAAAATATTCTTTGCCCGATAATCTAATACATCTAAAATCCACTTCTGAAAAAAAAAATAAGAGATCCAATTCAAAATTCTAACCTAAACCTAACCTAAAGACTCTAAGATTTGTATCCAATTTATATCCTCTTATTTTTCATCTATTTTTCTTTTCTATATCGCTTATTCAAGCTAACATTTCCGACATTCGTCTTCCAAATCACAAATTTCATAAATCCACGTAAACTCGTTTTCCACGAGCATCCAATTCCACTTTTGAGAAAATAAAAAATATGAGAAAAACTTACTTGAGATTAGAACCCAAATCTCCTGGTCAGCAGAATTCAGAGCTTTAAACTCACGCCCAAGATGTTCTCTCGCTTATTTCTCCTTCCTTTCGTTTCCTTTCCATATCGCTTGCGGTTTTTCACGATATCGCATTTTATTTCTCGAAAAGTCACGGCGACAAACACTAGCCTCCACCGGTAATCGTATTATCGACCAGGTTGGACCGATGCACCAGACCAATCAGGTGCATGGACGACATCATGGGGGCTAACCTAAAACTCGTTACACACATCCATCGAGCGTGCAACCCGGTTCGTCAATTGATTTCGAGGTTCGTTCGATGTGTAAACACTTGTTTCAGTTTCATTTCACGTACGTTTCGTACGGCGAGCTTCGCGAGAATATCAAGTCGTTTCGATGATCCACTCGATGCCACGCGCGCGATATTCCCGGATCGATCCGGAATGGGGATCAACACTTGGGCGAAATAAACTGGCGCGAAATCAAACGGCCCGTGTAATCGTTATGTTTCTTTGAGCGCGTACACCCTTGCTCCCGATCCTTGTTATTTGGTTATCGATCTCCGAGATTGGTTTAAAACGATTCATAAATATGTATTAAGCTGTTCGGAAAAAAGTACTTTTCGCATTTCTCCTGTAAATCGACAATTCTTTACCTGTGATCTGTGAAATTGAATTTAAAATTTCCCGCTTTTTATTATAATTTTATCACAAACGTAGTTTAATTTCAAATTGATAATGCTTCTTTTTTTCCATTCTTTCTTAAACTTTTCTTAAACTTCCATCTATTATACGTAATAGACCAAGTCTATGTCATGATTTCTTGCTAGCAAAATCGAGTTTCTCCTTTGATTTGATTTAGAAAAATATTTTCTTAATATGATAAAATAACGTAATGTTTCGAACCACTCAGTTTTTGACTAAAATATTTTTCAACATCATATTCATGAGAGATAGATCAATGCGAAAACCCACAACAACAACAACGTATCGTGTCACCGATCTATCAATAGGATTTTTCAAACCAGACATTTGCAGCCGTGTTCGCTCTCTCTCTCTTTCTCTCTCTCTCTCTCTTATTTTTTTCCTTTTTTTTTTTATAAAACAGCCTTCTCGATCAGTAACACTCACGCGATGCCATTTAAACGGATGTCAGGATATAGTGTGTGTATACTCCATGCCCTTATTTTGCCACACTTCCTTTTTTCTTTCCTCACGTTGTAAAATCAAGCAAAGTTTATGCTCAGTGGAGCGCGACCCCGCGGTATTTACGGGAAAAATCGTTGGAAAAATAAGGGATGGGAGGGGAGAAGGTACGAATAAAAAATTCGCGATGCTTTTAACGCACTTATCCTCCACAGTACCTTCGAATCCCGCTTGTTCATAGATAAATGTTACATGATTTCGCCGTAAAAAGTGTATTCGAACATCTTCATAGAGTCGTCTCTCGTTTGAAGAAATCTTGTGCTCCAAATTGAACGAAATACAAGAATTAGAGACACAGCTTCTAGAGGGTTAAGATTAGTTAAGTCTTTTTTAATTAATTCGTTGACGTCCACTGATATTTCGTTAGCCACTTGCAAAGAAAGAAGCAACTATTTCAAAGCGGATATAAGGAGAGTCATTGAACTTTTTCCAAAATTATGAAAGACGGAGAACAGCTTTCTTTTCGTTAATACGCGTTCCTCATGTATTTATCTTGTACCACTCATCAAAAATTAATATCTACCTAAAGAGAATCTTCTATATTCTCGTTGACGTGTTAAACGTGTTAAACATATTAAATGGAAATGGTTCGCTCTGAAGATATTGGTACTTCAAAATCGTACTCGTTCCTATACCTTAGAACCTCCATAGATCAGAAGATACTTGGCGAAAACGCGAAGGATCGGGAACACGGTGCACGTGGTAAACCTATGAACATTATGAATCTTCGTTTCGCAAAATTGTTACGTTATTTTCCACGTTTCCTTTTGTTATATTCTAACGAAAGTCTCGTTTAACACGCGCGATGTACACGAACGCGAACACATCCTCTCTATAGCGATAAGAGGATCACGTGCACGTGATGAACATCGGGACACGCGCCGCCTAAAATCGATCCCCAAATAATACGAGAGCCAGCCACTGGGGACGTGTGCGATCGTGAGACTTCGGTGACCAACCAACGAACGTTTTGGAAATATGAGGAGGAGGAGGGGGAGGGGTCGTTGCATGCAACGATGTTTAGAAATTAATCTGCAGGGCTAAGGCAGAAATCTAGCTGGCTACACGTATCAATTAGTGTACCGTGTTGGTGAGGTCTGGTGGCTGTGTGTTGCTGTTCGTGTCTCGCGTGCTTGCAGGAGGTGTGTGTTCTTGTTCTTGTTTCCCCGCCGACACCGTGATGCTTGTATCGTGGCACTGCTTAGACGTTACCTCATTCATGTAGGACACTTCCGATAAGGGGACGTAGTAGTAGCCCAAGAAACGATCCCACAGGAAACCCTTGCACCAGACCTCCACCACAAGGCCCGTGTTCATGTCGTTCGTCTCGCTGTAAACGAAATAAAATAATAACAATTAACGTAAGATGATGATGAACGCAACGATCGAGGGAATTAGCGTTCGATTCGTGTACAAGAAGAAGGATCAAAGATTAGAGAAAGAGATATATATATATAGATGGAAGGAGAGGAAGGAGAGGAATCGAATTTTCACGTATTCCGAGACTATGAGATTCAACTTTAAACGTTGGACTTGGACGGGGAAACATTCGTCGACTGACTGGAAAACTTAATTAGCCCGAAAGACGGTGGAACCTGGCGGATCGAAAGATTCGAATTCGAATCACGAATCCGGCGACTCGATCCCTTCCTTTTAAAACCAAAGCGCAAACTCGTCCTTTTACTCCTGTCATCGTTCTATATTCGATCCCGTACGCGTTGCCGCGTAATCATTAAATAATCAGGAAATCGTCGAACGACAAATATAGACTCGAATCGTTCCAATAATTCGCAATTTTCTTAATTAAAACTTCGATCGACGAGCACAAACGACGAGATAAATTCGTCCGTATCGAAAAGGGGACGAATGCAATCGGCCGATTCTTTTCCACTATTACATTTTTCCGCGTCGATCGAAGAAGAAATAGAGGCGTCGTAAGAGCAGCGTTATTGGCGCTATCGAATTCTAAATCGAGATACAGATCGATCTCGGTGTGGAGCCTATCCTCGGCGATTCTTATTTTCGGCACACGGAGTGGGGATACAGGTTTCCGTCGCACAAGTTAAATAAAATACGATTTTAAATGGGCCGCGCACGCGGAGATGGGGGCGGTGGTCGAATGAAAAAAGTGGGTTAAAGGTTCGCAACTTGGCAACTTGAGGATTTAACGGCGCCAGTAAGGATATTTCAGAAATTCTGAGATCCAAAATTCTCCTATTTTCTATCCTCACGAGTCCTCCCGCGATTGTCCTCCTTATATATTTTAGACGGTCGATCAATAGAGCTGGTCCGTGTGCCCTCCTCTCTCTCGACGTCCACTCGACTCGATCTTATTTCAACGAAAGATCCTTTTTAGGAACGTAAATCCGGGTCTACGCGTCCCCGTGTTTTTTTTTTTCGACGCGGGATGCGAATTGTGGGAGGGAGAGGTAGAGGGAGAAAAATTGGTTAGCTGTTTGCTAACCCCGGTTCGTCGAATTGTACGCGTGTCGAACTACCGGAAATGCGGATCACGTTCATAACGTTGCATAACTTGGCACAACTTGATAGACCTTCGTTCGTCTTTGGAAAGTCTATCCTATGTATGCGAATCGACGAAATTTTTTTTTTTTTACGAACCACCCCCGTATTGAATTCGAAAAACGATGGTACGTAGTATTCATCATTTTTTCTCGTTTATTAAAAATTTTTTCGTATCAAGAACTTTGAGATCTCCTCCTGATCAATGAATACTTTTTTAACAATTGTTTTATACAAAATAGAATAATATATTTATTACTGGATCGCAGATATTATTAGATGAAAATTTATGTTTTCATAATCATGATTAAATAAATGGAATCTAATAAAAAATTTTGATCAATCTTCCAAATTTTGTATACATTTATAATCTCTCATAAACGTATTTCGTTCCATCCTTCCTAATTCCTCCGTCTCTCAAATTGATCTTTTTTTTAACCCGAATTTTTCAATGAAACGTTCCAAAAATACAACGAGACGAATTCACAGCGGCCCTGGCGAACGAAATCGCGCCGCACCATCCACAAATACAGATTTAACAAACACGTATAATTGTTTCGAGGCCCGTTGTTTGTCGTTCCATCGTTTATTATCGAAATAAATAAACACTTTTTTCAATGAATTTACACGAATATACAGTTTGTATATCGATATCGAGAATAAAATCACGAAGGAGCGTGATTTCATTGAAGAATGTAAAAGTTGCCGGTGAATAAAGCGGATGCGAGAAAGAGAAATGGCAATGGACAGGAGGGGGAGGGTGAGGAAAGAAAAAGGGGATGGTATAAAAACTGGGCTGGTATAAATACTTGGACGTTACAATCACCATCGTCCCTCGTTTTTATAAATAAACAGATCATATTCCACACCTCTTCCTGCTCTCTGTCGGTGTCCAGAGTGTATCCTGCTCCCTGATAATACCGGAATGATAAAGATGGACGGTGAAAAAAAAAAGAAAAAAGGAAAAACCCATCGAAAAAATTATTCTAAAGCGTAATTATATAGCGCGTACTCGACAAAAAGCTAGAGATCGATACTCGAACGAGAAAATATCATGGGGTTGAGGGAAAAGGAAGGAGACGAAGGAGAAGACGGAGGGAAACGGAAACGATTAAAACCGGAAACACGACTCGTTAGATGGGATAATCGCGAGTGTCTGGCTGCACGTTTGTATTTCTACAAGGTGTCTCGTAATTTGAATTTTATTTTATCGCCGTATTTGTCATATTTATCGCGTTTCAAAGACAAGGAAAGCAGAAGAACAGAAGAGTGGTCGCTTTGGTTTGTTATCACGATAATTCATATTGATGAAAAAATTAATATTTGAAAGAAGAAATAGCTTCTCGTATAACGTGAAATGCCAACTCTCAAAATATATAAAGAACACGGTTTAGAATGAAGTTGGCTGGATAAACATTCAACTAGAGACACTCTACTAACAATCCAATAACATAGTTCATTTTTGTATTAATTGAACTTGCCTCATTGGATATATATATATATAATAATAAAATATCTTCTGAAATATCAATTTTTTACTATTAGCTTCGTAGTTTTTCTTAAAGAAAACTGCATCGATAAAAAAATTACATTTAAAGTCCAGCAAATATCCACTTGTAACTTATATTACTAACACAAAATTTAAAACACAATTTTATAAAATATTTCTCGACAAATTTTTCAAAATGGAAGAACATACATATATATATATATCGAATTAAAATTACAAAAGATACTTACAAAAGAAAGTCTTGCTCCCAGCATGGATTGGCCCCTTTCACCGTGACTGTCGTCGACTTCACATTTTGCAGCTTCAGTGTTACGTACGAGTTGAATTGTTCCGCTGAAATCGTTGGAAATCGGTCTTGAATCGTGTCCACCACCAACGTAAAACCGTTGTCACCTCCACGAGCGAGGAGGGGGGCGGGAGGAGGGAGGTTATGCGAGTCCCGATTGATCGTGCAAAGAGGACGAAGCGCGTAAACCGCCCCTCGTAAAAGAAATCTGTCTCTCGCGGAAATGGAAACGTTGACGTTGATAAATAGGCCGGAGGCCGCGGGAGAGAGGGGAGGGAGAGGTGTGTGGGCATCAAGGTATCGGCCGTGCATGGAGCAAAAATTATTTACGATCGGATGAACCGGGATTTATACCGCGTTACCCAATAAATTAAACGTTTGACCAAGTAACGTTACGATGCAGCGGTTCTCCGTTGAGTCGCATGGGATGAAGCGCGAGATAAAGGATTAATAAATTTTAACTTTATATAGCTAATTTTAAATAATAAATACGCGTGAGATGTGTCAACGATCACGAATAATTCAAGGGGATTTTTAAGAGGATTTTTGATAAAAATACTGTTCCTATTTTTTATATATGGTGTAGTGATGTAAATAGAGAATTATGATTTAAATGGAAATTATTAAGAAAGTAATAGTAAGGAAGAGAGATTAGAGCTATCTAGAGGGCCTGTTCGTATAAATTATTGTAATTAAAGTGATAAAAAGAGCAGGTGTAATTATATTCCTATCTCTAATAAATTACAATATTAATCAATATGAAATCATTTTGGTTGTTTTAGAGTTAAAATGACGAGTCGAATGTCCACGATTTCGATCATAGAATATTAAATAAACGAGCAGTAATAATTTCTTCTTTTGTTGGACGAAATTATTCGAGTCTTCGGTTCTTATTCGTTGAATTCATATCTTTGTTTCATCAATATCAAAAGATATAATTTTTTTATTTTAGAAAAAGATCACGAAATTACATTTCTACTATATATTTCCAGAGCGAAACAGAATGAAATCGTCGAACACCTTTAATTTAAAAATCTTTTAATTACCGTAACGTGTCTGCCACGCGTTTGTATTAAATACGCGCGCACGACTCGAAAAATAACAAAATATTCCTGTGTCGACGAGGACACTTTTATTCCTCGCCAATCGAAAAATCGTAGTTCGCTTTATAACGAATATCCTGAACGTCGTTACATTGGGACAATTAAAAAAATTATTTATAGAAATTACTGACTTTCAAATATTTTCTATAGAATAATCAAAACGAAATAGAAAATTTAATAATCCTGGAAATTAAAACAAACACGAAACTTATAAGCAACTTAATTTTACAATAAATAAAGCGAGATAAAGATTGAATATAAAAAATAATAAAAATAAATGCCATCTCATTCTCGCTTCATCTAAATGGAAAATTAAATTGTTCGTAATTTAATAAATAAACTTCGTATCATCTTTATATTCATTTTTCGTGTTGAAAAAAATCCATGAAATATCGTTCGAGAATTTATTAAGTATCCTGTGTAATTAAAAGAAACGAAGAATTATTACTAAACGTTTTGATATTATTCAATGATCCCTCGAAAATTTAATCTATTTAACAAACCGCTGAAAAGTATCTATAAGATATCGTTGAATCGATATGGAAGGAGGCACGAATAGTATATAAAATTGTAATATTATTTCGATTCGAATCCGATCGTTTCTCAATTTACCATGGATACCAGAGAGTCCCATTCCTGGAAAACGGGGCAGACGAACCGTAAAGGTCTATAAGCTTCATCCCTGTTGTCTGTCTATGAATATATACATAGGCTGCAAACTCTCGATAAAAAGCACGCGTCTCGATTTTACGATGTGCGCTTCATACGCGGCTTATGTGAGAATAGAACTTTTAGCCACGTGCCAATGAAATTTTCACAAACGATGATACGTAACGATTTATTCTAGATACTCAAATCATTAGAAATTAATATAAAAAATTATATAAGTGGATAAGAAATGATAATTTATGATTTAAATAAATTTGAAAATAAAAACATAGAAATTAAATGTAAAATCATGTCAGATGATGGAAAAATAGAACAAATTTGAATTATACAGGATGCATCGTCTAAACTTTAATTCATTTATCTAATAAAAACTGCATAATGACAAATAAGATGTAAAAATAATTTCTTTTAAATTTTTTGTAGATGAAAATAAAAATTATTAAAACATCTTAAAGTCATTGATGATTACTTGATTCTCATCATAAAATATCACAATGCAGAGAGAATTTTCATTGTTGAGGAATATTTAATTAACGTAATTGCTATTCAATGTGTTATTAATGATAATTACGGTGGCTGTCGCTCAAAGTCGTACACATGAACACAAGCCTGGACCATTTCGCATGATTGAAACTCTTGTTACCGTCTTATTTCATCCGTTTCCAGTGGTATATTGTCACGACGAAGAATGACTCGTTCTGATTTGCGTGATATATGGCACGACATGGCGACGTTCAAAATAATTCCTCACGTTCATTCACACGTTGAAATGAATTTCTTAATTTAAGAAGCATAAAAAGTGAACATTACTGAAGTGAACAATCGTAAAATCCACGCGATTGTTTTAATCTTTATGCCACGATATTTGAACGTGCTTGTTTTAATTTTTTCGATTATTTTTAATTATTATGAGAATCAATAGTGATTATCATAATGATAGAAATATAATAAAAGGATTGAAAATGAAAGAATTTTTACGTTTTTTAACCATTTCGAGAGTAATAAAACAATATGTTCCAAAATAACAATTAAAATTGTTAATTTTTCAACGAGCTTATTTAGACATAAAATTCTACTAGAAATAAAATTATTTATCTTATTTTTTCTTCTCTCTAATTCACTGTATCCCATTGTACTATTATTATATTATATTTAGTACTGAAAGAAGATTAAAATTCTCGATCGAAAATTTAAAAATTAATAAATAGAAATAGCGAAACTTCTAATTTCCAATAATTAACAAAAACTACTTGAATTAAAGAAAAAAACTAAAAACTAAAAATACAATTTTATATTAGGAATGATATATTAGGATGATCTAAGAGAACAATGAACTTGTAGGTGCTGAACAAGTGTTTTAAAATTCACAGCACGGAGACAAGTGTAAGAAAACAGATCTTTTTGAATTCTTAAAGTCTGATATCAAACAATTCAGATAAGGAAAACAGGATTCAAATAGCTCGAGACTCGTGCGACTGCATACAAAGATACTCGAATCTGCGAAAATCGAACACGGATAAATTTTTCCTCTTGATATATAGCACCATAACTTAACCTTTACAAAACGTGTAAAATGAATTTAAAAAAAAAAAGAAAAACATGATACAACATATATACGTAATACAATCGTATTTTTAGGAAATTCTAGAACTGATTTGGCTACAGAATCCATCTGATTTTATCAACTGTACATATATTACTTGGCTTCGAGATTACTTTAATTTAAAAAAAAAAAAAAAAAAAACACGTGGCTTCGTGAAGTGATAAGAAAAGAGAACCCACTTATCACTTACTGCAGATTGAATCCACTTATTCTAATTGGATCAAGAGTCCACTCAATATCAAAGAGAGGATAGTGCCAAAATCTATTTGTATCGAGGAACATTTTGGTTCTATATATCGTTCTAATTTATGGTTTGTTTGGTGTCAATAGCCTCCAACATCCAAGATTGAAGCTAGAGGGTGTTTGTCACCCAGATTAACAAGAATCATTAGCAAGTCAAAGACCTTTATGAAGAGCGTAAATTGATCTTGAATACAAATAGTAACTTCGAATAAAATGTGGATGCTTGAATAAACTAAATAGTTAAATAATGTAATTACGAATCTTAGAACGAGAGACTAAAAAAGAAAATGTTTAAATAAATACTTTTGAATCAAATTTTTGCACCAAGTGTTTCTTATTGCCAATAATTTTAAATAAAGGAGGGACTGCATTTTGAGTCTTGGAATCAACTAAGAACCTTTCCTGATTAAGAAAACGGCAAATATGTTTTATTGTTAATAACTCGAGATAAGATTGAATTAAATGAACTGTCAAATAGTAGATGTATTTGAATGTTGGAATCAAGTAGAGACTTTTCGCTAAGAAAATTTTGGAATTAAATAAATACTGTTGGAATAAAGGAAGCTTGGCACGAAATACGTCTTACTTATTCGTGCCAAGTTATTTCTAAGACATTCTGGCGGAATCTGAAAATAGGGATCTAGATATATATCTGAGAAATTTCAATGTGAAACTCGTGTTACGATATTGTTTGAACAATGGGTATCATAGAATATGAGAAAACAGAGTTCTTGTATCATGTGAAGTAGCCATTTTGCTTTTATAATGCATTACTTCTTTTGTTCTGCTTGTCACCTGGCACAAACTTTTTTATCGCGACAAACTTTTCAAATGTCGGCCCATTATGCATAGCTTGCCACTTTTTTAATATTACTCTTGGTCTATTTCGGTACAATGTGCAACTTTTGCTGCTAAATATACGTAGTTTTTTTTTTGCTTTGCGCGAACCCACTCTCGCTCAATTATTTTCAATTCAGTCACTAAACTTTGCGCTCCAATCCGGACAACACATTTCTCTCAATTCCGTTCCATTATTTCATCGTTTTTTAAATAATTCAAATAATTTCATTTTCTTTTAATCATTAAAGACAATTCCGTTTCCTCCTTCCTAATAAATTATCGGATAAAATTAATCAAAACATTATTCTCTACATTCTTGCGAGAATATATTAAATTTTGATTTTACATATACCAATGTCTCTACTTTTAAAAATCAAACAAACAACATCTCTACTCATGATAATTTCTAAGAAAAAAGTGGATGAGTTTTTCTAATCGAGATTATTCGCGTAACATAATACCATTCTCTATTAAAGTGACGTGTATGGATATGTATACAACGATTCACAGTCGCCATTCACGTACACGTGGCGGCGTCGTTTCCGGGACGCGAAAAACACGGTTGATACGAATGCAAACTTACTGAAAGTCTCAAGGCTTTTTTCCATTAACAGGAGAGGGAGGGAGTGGAAAGAATGGCGCGAGGCGCGAGTATCGTAACGGGAAATTGCTCCGATTTGAAAAGTTTAAATACGTCGTGTTGCAAAAAAAAAAGACTCGTTCTTCTCGAGCCTTTGTATCGCTTCGACGGAATCGGGAATTTCAAGTTGAGCGTTAAAATAAAAAAAAAAAAAAAAGAAAAAAATAACGCGGACCGCGATATTGCGATTTTTTGAAAAAAAGGAAAAACGGAACTATCCACCACCAACACCGCGGATGATAAATTTCCACCGTGTTTCGCGCTCCAGCATTTCCAAATGGAATCGCGTGACAGCCCCCTCCCCTCTTTCTCCCCGCTTTTCACGATACACGTAATCGTCATTAGCCGTTCTAATAACGAAATAGTATTCGAAATAGTATTGACGCGGAAACGAGCCCTCTTCTTGCGGGCAAACGATCGAATGAGGAAGATCGAGAGGGGGAGGATGAGGAGGAGAAGGAAAAAAGGCATAACGATCTATGATCCGAGCGAAGTTGCGATCGATGGTTACGAGGCATTTGAACTCGCTGCAAAGAATTGGAGCATGGGTTATTCGCGAAAACAAAGCGAGGCAAAGATCGGTAAAAAAAAAAAGAAAAGGGAAAAAAGGGGGAAGGGTTTCGTAAAAGTTGACAATTCGTCCCGACGAATGGTCGCCGCGGAAAAATTATTTCGGCATGAACAAGAGCATCGCGATATTCCGGTTGAGGAGTCGCATAACCTTTAACTTGGAACCGTTCCAATCGGTGTGCAACAAATTTTGCGCAAACCTCAGAACTGGAGCGTGAATAAGGGCTTCCCCCCGTATCGATTCGATTTCAATTTTTTCGAAAAAAACGATCGAAACCGTCCAACTTCTTCCTCCTCCCCGCGACATTCGCTTCTTGACTCTATTTCTTGATCTCGAGCCATCATAAGGGGAACTAGAACTAAACCGTTGAATGAAATATGATTGAGGAAGTGTCAGACAGTTTGGCGACATGGTGACGTTCGAACTTTTGAGAATTTGGATAATTTGTTACAATGTGAATTTACGCTCGTGGAGGTGTTGTTTCAGGATGAATCCGAGGAACGATTAAATCAGAGATCGTCGTTGCTCAGTTTATTGCATCCCGATTTCGACTTTCTCTTCCTCCTCGCTCCTCTTTTTAATCATGGATACGAACCTTCCTCGCAGACGAACCGCGCTTTCTTCACTGAAACAGAAAAGAGAGAATGGAATCGTGAATGGAAACGTATTATTATTATGTTGTTTATAAATATATGTAAATGATAAATAATTAACAGTTTTCACTCCTGCCCGACTTAATTTCGCTGAATCAACCGCGTGCAAAGCAAAGTCCATAAACGGAATTAAACCGTACTCCAACCCTCGATTAAAAGCATACGTACGCCGCACGCACGCCGTTGCTGGACTTTCGGAATAATTAAAGCGAGAACTGGGTTATTCCGCTTATTTGTCTTAACGCAAACGAGTCGATCGGGTAATTTCGTTTCGACCTTCGGGACCGTTGGGATTGTTGGGAAAGGTTCACAATACGTTGAGGATATTTGTAATATATTCAACATTATTTAACACCCTATTTAACATTATTAGGGATAATTTCTTCTTCTTTTTATTATTCCTTTAATCGCCTTTCGAATCCGCGAGAATCCTTGCCATTTGAAAATTTTGCATTTCGAAGGATCGCGAAGAAGTGGAGTATCGAAATTACTGAGATTATAATCCAATTATACGCGTTAAAGCTTCCGGATTAAAATTAAAGAAGAAGCGAGAATTTGATTCAAAATGATAAATGATAGAAAATGATGACTTAAAACCTTCCCTGATAAAACCTCTATGGAGCATCGATTCGATTATCACAAATGAATCTAAAATTAAATTTTCTCTTAATGTGTTATTCTTCTTATTCTTCGTATAAGCGGAAGAAGAAAGTTCCGTTATTCCATTCACGGAGGAAGGATTTTCGATTCCATGGGAGAATCGCGGACTGGGCTCAATATTCGAGGCTCAAAAATAGGCAGCCACTTTTAAATGCATCCCGAAGACACATACGCGGAAATTGAAGCCGGGCGAATTCGATTTCGACGCTCCACCATTTTCCATTGAGCATCCACTATCTGAATAAATCAATTCGGCCGCAATTCACGTGTGTCACACTTCAACGACAATGAGCCTGTGCCTTGAAACGGCTTCCATATATGCATTTACATAGGAACAGATACGGGTTGAACACGTTCACGCACGCACACACACTTCCATTCGATCAAACTGGTCGAACGCGGGAAGGGAATTCAATTTCTTCCGGAGGAGGGAGAACGGTAACGACATATAAAACGTACTTGACCGACTCGCTCTCTAAGAAAGAACGCCAATGCCCGGTTAATCGTATTATCCGATCCGTATGAAGATTTATAATTGAAAGGATTTGTAATTCGAAATGATGTTCTTAATCTGGATTCTTCGGGATACGCCCCTTGTGTATTTCGCTCTTTCTTCAGGGTCTTTTAACTCTTTGAGGTATTAACTGTTTTTGAAAGGAATATTTATAAGGAGAATTTTTTGAAATATCGAGAAAAGGGTTGATGGAAGGGTTAAAGATAATTATCGTTCGATAGATATCGATTTTATTTTATTTCTGGATTTAAGAATATTCTCTTTTAAATTCATTATTTTTATTTTTGGCCTGATCATTAATTGTTCAAAGGTAATTTCGAGGTAAATATATCATTTGTCCAATCAATCTGTTACTATAATAAATAAATTAAATATAAATTAATTATTTCAAATTTACACTCTTTTTATTAATTTATTATCATTTTTGTAACACGTCATCTCCTCAATGATCAGAAATTTTAGATCTTATTATATAGTACGTGATTTATTTACGCAATAAAAGTGGCTTATACGAAAAACGATCTTGGATTTGAACTTTGAAAAACACCTACACAGAGACCTTTGCATTTCTGCAATGTACAACTATTATGTTATTTGAACAGAAGCATGTTATCTGAACGTACACATGTACATTCTGCATTTCCACGCTTCTTCGTACTAGTGTAACATTGTTTGTATGTTATCATAGTAGGCGTACAACTTGGAATTCTCAACTTCTTCTCCTACCTGTTGAAACCAACATACAAGATATAATAACAAATAACAAGATATAATAATAATCAAGAAACATTCCACCCAATTTCGTGGACTTAAGAAATATCAAAGATTACGCTACAGACAAGGACAACTTTGAAAAGTGAATCCGTAAAGAGGGAGTTTAAGTGTACCTGACATTTGACCATTCCGTAAAGGCATCATTGAATCGATCCATGGAAATGTAAATTCGCCACGTGTCGTCTCGTCGAGTGTGTGTTAGAAGATAGTATGAATCAAATTTTACATTCGAATTTACACGCGAATAGAATAAAAATATGTATTTTTCAGATAAAGATCGATATTTCGAAGATTTCGAAGATTCACTTTTATCCTTTCAATACTCGATACTCTCCATAAAAATGCAATTATCACTTTAATTCCGAATGCCTCGTATAAAATTATATTTTATCCTTTATTATTATCTGTGATTTGAGATTCAATTGCGCGAAACATCCCGTTCAAACTTTGCCATTTGATCAGTAAAATTGTACACGAGAACATTACGTGACGTTGTATCGATAATAGGGAGCTGCAACATTGTTGTTTCGACATATTTTATCGAACAATAGCAGCAGACTGACAGCCTGATTAGACTTAACAAGATTCAAAGAGACCTCTAGATCCACAAGTATCCACGCGCGAATTATAATATCGATCAAAATATAACATATAATTGTTACACAAGAATAAAGAATCGCGTGCATGGGAACTTTATAACCCCTTTTCTCGTCAGTTTAAACATTCCGCTAAATTTCGAATAAAAAATCAATAATTTCAATTTGATCAAACAATTAAATTATGCAAAGATCACGATCATTTCTAACAAATCTTTAACTGTTAAAAAAAATTATATTTTTCAAAAAGGAAATAAATGATAGATTAAACGAAACAACACGAATAATTCGTCGAAGGAAAGTTAAACAATTTATATCCCACATATCTCACAAAAGCCTGGAATAAATACGTAATCCTTTCCGCAACTCTCCCCGATATTTCGTCAACGACGATCAGAACAAAAATAACAAAATAAATCGCTTCGCATACATATAACACGTGAAAGGGTAAAAATTAATTCGTTCCACGAATTCGTCGATCAAGGCTTAAATCTCTAAATTCATCTCTTCCTCGTATCACCAACAAACAGAAATCACAAATACCGAAGATGCAGAAATTTCCGTCCGAAATGTAAATAAGGGTTCGAGAGATGCACAGATGCATCACCTTTGCTAATCTTTTTTTAACGAAAAGAGCTTTAACGAAAAGGTCACGAAGCGACCCGTTTTATATATATATATATATATATACATCAGCCTCGTTTACACGAGGGTGACGGTGCCGTGAGTTCGTACTCCCTTACCACCGTGCGTGTTCGTTGGTCGGAGGAGAGGCAAGGTGTTTCCAGCAACGAACGAACACCAAGGCGAGAGGCGATTTAAAGCAATGACCTGTGCTAATAAATGTCAGACAATGCGCTGGAAATCTATGCGATCGGCCAAAGGTTTTAAGTGGACGGGTGGAACGGCTTCATCAAACCGTTTGTCATGGTCCATACACGCGCACAACTGACGTTGTATAATCGGAATGAAGGTGGGACGATAATTGGTCGTATTTATGCCGTCACGCGAAAAACTGTTCTCTTGTTAACGACGATCGAGGGATGGATGGAATGGGTTCTTCCACCTTTTAACGGAGCGAGACCCTTCACATCCCTAGAATCGATTGCGCGTTTTTCATTGCGTGTACAGGGGAGGATGTTTTTATGCAGACGAGTGATGGAGTGAGTAATGGTGATCGAGTACGAGATAAGTTCTCGGTCAAAGAAGTTTGTTGACCGAGTGTATGTGGGGAAATTAATCTTGTCGTAAGACGGAGAGGATATATTTTGATTGTGATTGGGGGGAGGGGGGTAATAATGATCGGGTTCAAAATAAATCAATGGAACAAGTTTGAAGAATGGTTATAGTTGACCGATATAAATTATGAAAATTAATTTTCCTTGTTGGAAAATCGATTTCCATGATGTTAAATATGAAACGTTATTGGAACGAGGCTGGGATAAATAGAGTACGAATTATCGAGTCTGATAAAAATTTTTATTCCTTGTGCATTTAATTGCAGAATGGAGATTAGTATAAGAGGAGCGAAAAAAAAAAATAGATCGAAGTTGAAAGCAATTGGAATCATCTGATGATAGGAATTTTAAAATTAAATTTCGTTTTTTTTCTATGTCCAGATTGAGAAGGAAAATGAAACGATTGTATTACTAGTTTCTTTCTACATAGTTTTGCATCTTTTCAATCTTTTTAAGAATAATGTAAGTTTTATATTTAAAATTATTGTAACAAGAGAAGAAAAGTTGGACGATACAGTAATGGATCTCTGCAGTAGATGAGAGCCAAATCTACCCTTTTAAATTTAAAATATAAATTTCGCGAGCTCGATCTAGATAGGAAAAATAAATGGGTCTCAAAAATACAGAATCATATCGTTATAATCTTAATATTTACAAAATACTAAATTACTTTCTAAAATTACATAATCTACGAGAATTAAAATTAATCTTATTAAAATTATTATTAAAATTCTCGTAACCCAAATATTATATAACTTCGTAACGATGAAATTCGTTCCCGTATCCCGAATCTCTTATTTGACGACAGAACGATCGAAACGTATACAGTTCCACACGGTTCATTAAAATAACGTGTTTCCTAATCGTGCATCGAAAAATCTCGACACTAATTTTTAACCCAATTTAAGCAGGGAGTATTATATACACTGAGTGATACTTTGGACAACGTAACAACGAAGTTTCACACGATTCCTGGAAATCTTAATTTCCCGAGCGCATGAAAGCTGAAAGTTAACAAGTTTCGTTCGATTCTATCGATCCGTCTTTGCCATTAAATTTTTCGTGTCAAATGTGTGCGAAGACAAAAGAAAAAAAGAATGTATTAGCACGTTAATTAAACACGAACAATTGTTACATTTTATGCTTTCATTATTTTATTATTTGTCTTTAATATCATCATTCTTTTTTTA